GCATGCTACTGCACATCCCTTTCTCCATCTGTATGCAACAAGTCAGTTAAATCAGCTATGGCAGTAGTTTTCAAACCATGGAAATCAGCAAATATTACATATCAGAGTGTTTTTCCTCCAGAGAGCCTGTTGTTAAACATGTATCAGCCATGACCGATCTTCCAGTGATGGGCCTTGGTCCTGGTGGTCCTAAGTGAGGGGTGCTGGCACCCTGAGGGTCCAGGTGCCCAGCTGTGAGCTTTGGGCTCCAGCTCCAGCATGACTCCCCTACCCTCTTAGGGCTTTGTTCTCCTGCCCAAGACAGAGTGTGATGTGCGTGAAGTAGAGTTTGCCCGATGCCTACGGCTTCGCCAGACCTCCTTGGAGCCTGTCGCCTTCCGGTTGCCCAGAGTCAGGGTAAGGATGGGGCCTAGTATGACAATACCCAGCTCCTGTCAGGGGTTTTGGGGCCTGACTGGCCCTGTCCCAAAACTTCCCTCCTCACTGCTTTTTGGGGCACCTATTCCCCTACCCTGCTAAGATTTGGAAACTCCAGACTGGTGTCCAGGTCTTGCCAAGCCCTGCTCCCAATGCATGCTAGTGTGCCCTGGGCCTCTGGTCAGTGCCTCAGGGCAGTCCCTTCCTCCCTCCCTGCAGAAAGAGTTCTTCCAGGATGATGTGTTCCCAGACACGGCCGTGAGCTGGGAGCCGGTGCTCAGTGCCAAAGACTGGCTGGGAGGCGCTAACAGACAGCCCCGGCTTCTCAGCCTGCAGCCCTCTGGCATGACCCCAGGTCAGAAGAGGGACTAGGGTGGGTAGGTAGGATGCAGGGAGTGGGTGGGGGTTAGAGAAAGGGGCAGAAGGCAGATACTCTATCCCTACTGGCATGCAAAAACCTCTGTACTTCTAAGGATGGGATGGGATGGCTTTATCTCCAGACTCAGTCTCTAAGCCACTAGGGGGCAGGGCCCAGGGTCTGTGTTGCCATTACAAGTCCCTTCCCCCAGTACACACACACTCACATACTCACACATACACACAGCCTTGTGAACAGAGGGTTGAGTAACAGTTAATGCTACCTCTGGAGGTTTCTGCAACAGAATCCCCTAGGTGGCTGGTTCCAAAGGGTTGGGCAAAGATCCCCCACTGAATGGACTCTTGTGCCTGATACTTGTCCTTGCTCCACCCCAGTGAGCCAGGCCCCCCGTGAAGCCCCTGCCCGTCGGGCTCCATCCTCAGCACTCTACCTGGAAGAGAAGTCAGATCAGCAAAAGAAGGAAGAGGTAGGCACAGGAGAGGGCTGACTGTGGAGAGTACAGGGTTCCCTCTGTTGCCCCTCAGTTCTCTATCCTGACCCACACTGGGACAGGAGCCAGTGTCACACCCCTTTCAGTTGGAGAGCTTGATGAGGAAACCTTCCAGAGCCCTGAAGTTGACTGTTTTCACCTATGGGACACAGCTTGAGAAGCCAGGGAATGGCAGAGAGAGGCCCTGGCCTGGCCTGTCCCAACCTAACCAGAACCAGAGGTTTTGGACCTAAGTGCATTTGGGACTATGGTGCACACTTGAGCCTCTGAGGCAATGTGCAGGCAGCTGCCCTGTGATGCTGGTGCAGCACGTCACAGTATGTCTGCCTCTGGCTCTTCCATCTTTGTAGAACTGTTTTCTTCAGTGAAAACCATCAACTTTGTTGGGGCACTAATGAAAATGGCTCTTTCACAACCTTGATGGGGTTCAAAGTGGAGTCTGACATTGTCGGGGTCAGAGGTCCTTTTCCCTTCCCACCTCTTTGTCCACTCTCCCAGCTGCTGAATGCCATGGTGGCAAAGCTGGGGAATCGGGAAGACCCACTCCCCCAGGATTCATTTGAAGGTGTGGACGAGGATGAATGGGTGAGTGAATGAGTGGGCCTGGCATCCCATCCCTCCCCTACTCATCCCTGCAGCATGTGCTACCTCCCTTCCCCACATCCTCTCAATTCCACCCACTTCTTGGTTTATCTCCCCAGGACTAGTTTGCCCCGAGCCACCTCTGGCCTCACCTGCCGTTGCCACCTCCTAGAACCACCTAGTGCCCCTGCACACCTCATATCTTACCCTCAAATTGGAAGGCATCTCTCGGCTTTGGCACAACTCATCCCAGAAACCCTGGCTTTCTTTGGGCCTTGAGCACTTCCATGCCCTCTGGGTCCTGCTAAAACACCCATGGATTGCCTGCATCTCTGCTTTCTCTGGTACTGCCCACTTCTCAGCTGCCTGCTAGCATGTGGAGCCAGTGGCATGGGGGTGGGATGAGGTGGGGGGGGGGCAGGAGGGGTCAATAGCATGTCTCTGGGCAGGCCCTGGGCTCCCTGTTTCCCTACTCTGGCCTGGGCTGTCTTCACTGAGCATCTTCAGTTATTACATGCTGCCTCATCTTGCCTGCTTTCCCAATTTTGGTCAGTGGCCTCAGGGGCTGGCCCCCTGCCAAGCTGTTTGGAGCAGCACCAGCCTCAGGGGTCTGAGACCAGTCACTCTGCTTCCCAGGCTTGAAGCCAGGAGAAGGGGGCAACAGGCTGGTGGCCTGATTAAGGGAGTGTGAGCCCCACAGGGGCTGGCCTACACATGCCTGGGATATTTTCAGCAATTAAACTTTTCTAAGCCTGCCACTTCTTGTGCTGCTGTGGTCTCTGGGTTGGCTGGGAGAGGAAGGGGACAGGAAATATGAGTGAGGGTTTCCCCTGGTCCCAGGATCCACTTTGCTCCTGAGGCCATTTCAGCTGCATGCTTCTGGGAGTTCATTCATTCATACAGCAGAGGTATCCATCCAGCAGTGCTCTGGATGATAGATACTGTAAATCAGAAGTGACATGAGCCTCTCAAGGTACTTATTATAGTCTTATTATGCAGGGGAGCCATATTGTGTGCAAGTAAGCAAATAGAGAGCTGTGAAGGAGATAAATTACGTGGAAGAGTGATTGGGATGCAGGGGGGAACAGGGTGTTCAGGGTCTGAGAAGGTAACATTTAAGAAGAGGGCTAAGGTCCAAAATCCAAGAAGCCAAAGAGAGAGCTGTGAGAACATTTCAGACAGGGAAGGATGGCCTGGGTGCTGAGGGAAGAAAGAATTTGGAGAGTTGGAGGGCAGGAAAGAAGGGCAGTGGTCTGTGACATAGCACAAAACAGCCTGACTCATTTCATTCAACAAACATTGGGTGCCTTTCCTGTATCAGCCACTCTTCCAGGTGCTGACCTCCAAGAGTGGAGAAAAGAGATAAAAGGTAGCCACCAGGAATCCACATTCTAGTGGCAGGGAAGAGATTATAAACAATAAAAATAAATGAATAACATAATATGGTAAGAGATGATAATATAAATGGAACCCAAGTTCGGCTGCCTGCCACCACAAAAGACAAACTCATTAGACAGATGCTGGTGAGAAGGGAAAGTTTTATTCAAGTGCTGGTCACCTGAGGAGATGGGGGACTCAACATCTCTGTGCAGACAGAGGTTTTTAGAAGGAGGGAGAGGGAAAGAACAAAGAAATCAAGGGAAGGGGTTTGTAAAGTTCTCTATGTGTAGTGTAGTACAGTCCATTCTACTAAGGACCTTGAAACTCGTCAAGTGATGGTCTAATGTGTACCATCCTGGTTCTACACTTGAAGGTTAGCAAATCTCCCAAAACTGTGATGACTGAAGGTTGGAGTCTGTATCTTCTGAAGTTAGTTCCTAGGATTCTTTTTTTTAATGTGTTTATTGATATTTATGTATTTATTAATCCTCACCCAAGAATATTTTTCTATTTATCTTCAGATAGAGTGGGAGGGAGAGAAAGGGAGAGAAAGAAAAACATCTGTGTGAGAGGGATGTTTGCCTCCTGCACGACCCCGACTAGGGCCGGGGATGCACTGCAACTGAGGTACCTGCCAACCTTGACCAGAATCGAACCTGTGACTCTTTGATCCGCGGGCCAGTGCTCTAAAGCTGAGCCAAACTGGCCAGGGCTGTTGATTGATTTTGAGAGAGAGAAGAAGAGGACAGAGATAGAAACATCAATGAGAGAGAAACATTGATTGGCTGCCTCCTGCATGCCCCCTACTGGGGATCAAGCAGCAACCCAGGCATGTGCCCTGACCGGTAATCAAACCAGCAACCTCTGTATGCATGAGTTGCAGCTCAACCACTGAGCCATACCAGTAGGCCAGTTCCTAGGATTCTTATACAAACATGCTTTTTATCTACAAACTACATATTCATCAGGGTCAGCATTTACAGAAGCAATATCAAAAGAATAGTGGGGTTGGTTACAATTTTCCACTGTTACAATAATAGCTTTGGGAAAAGGGAAGATTAAGAATGGAGGTTTAAGCCAGACACAAAAGGCCACATATAGTATGATTCCATTTACATGAAACTTCCAGACAGAATAGATTTGTGGTGGCAGAGGGGAGGGGGAAATTGGCAGTGACTGCTAATGGTAGTGAGTTTTGGGGGGGGGGGGTTATGAAAATGTTCTGGAACTAGTAACTATGAAGATACTAAAAAGCATTTAATTGTACACTTAAAAAGATGAATTGTATGGTGTGTGAAATTATATCTCAATAATTATAAGTGTTGGTAGGGGTAAGGGTGGGACCTCATTGAGAAGGTGACATTCTAGCAAAGAATTGAAGGAGGAAGGAATGAGCCGTTCTTTCCAGGCAGAAGGAACCTGGAATGAAGCCTATTTTGAAGTTTTCTCCTTTTTAAAATACTTGTGAGAACTTGGTATCATGCTCATTATTTTCATGTGACGTTGTGTGTTTATTGCATATCTTTTAGTCCCACATATTTTGGCAAAAGCAAAGGAAGATATTGGTCCACTTCGGACCGATGTATTCTACGGTTCCTAGGGCATCAGGTTAAGCAACAGGGCCAGAAAGGGACCTAGGACTGTCCCTGATTACCTTCAGAGCCCGAGGTGGGGCCCGCCCCGCCCCCAACTTTGCCTACGTCTTATGCGCAACCACCGACACTCCGCTCCCCCTGGATCAAGGCTATGCGCATGCTCAGTGCGGCGTCGCGCACGCGCTCTCCGTAGCTTCCCTTGACCTTTGACCCGCCTGCCGCCCTTGAGCCGCGGCCGCAGAGCTTGGAAGACGGATCCCGCGCTCCCGAGGCAGAGCGGCGGTCATGGTGAGGCCTGAGTCGGGGGCTCTCTGGAAGAAGAGACGCTATTTCGGGGGCGGGGTGGGGGCGGCGAGTTCCGGCTGGGCTCCGGCAGGGCTCCGGCTGGGCAGCGGGCGCGCCGTTCCTCTTACGTGCCCCGCGGGAAGCGAGGCCGAAGGCGTCGCACCTGGGGCTACCTAGGCGAGCGCTGGAGGCTTGGAAGCCGGGGAGAGCGACTGGCTGGAAGGCAGGGCGGACCTGGCCGGCCGAAAAATGCCCAGCAGATGTGACCGCCATGTCCGCCAGCCCATGTGCGAGCAGAGATGGAATCTAGCCCGGCCCCGGAGCCTCCGCTCCGTCCCGGGGCTAGCTAGATGTTGGTGTCGTCCTATTATTGTGCCCATTTGAAAGCTGGCAAAACGGGCACTGAGACTTACCCAGTAAAGTGGCAGAACTGGCCGGGGCTGGAATCAGGCCCTGCGACACTGAAAACTGAGCGTTTCTGCAGTACCACTGGCACAGCCAGTCCACCGACCTGGGCCACACTGGCTGTGTCAGGTCACTTGGGACCCCTTTAAAAATGCAGGGACCGGCCCCGGTCGGGGTCGTGGGGGAGGCCACCAATCGATGTGTCTCTCTGACATCTATGTTTCTCTCTCTCCCCCTCCCTCCCTCCCACTCTTATCTAAAAAAAAAAAAAAAAGGTCAGTGGAAAAATTGGTGAGGATTAAAAAAAATCAACCGGTGAATGCATAAGTAAGTGGAATAACAAATCTGTCTCTCTTCCACCCCCCCCCTTTTTCTCTTTCTCAAATCACTACATATATATATATATATATATATATATTCCCTCCCTCCTTTCTGTTTACCTTCAGGGAGAGAGAGAGAGAGAGAGAGAGAGAGAGAGAGGGAAACAGCAACGTGAGAGGGACATAGGGACTGGTTGCCTCCCGCACAACCCCCACCAGGGCCGGGGGCAAACCACAACCGAGATACGCGTGCCCTTGGCTGGGATCAAATCCGAGACTAATTGGTCCGAGGTCTGATGCTCTACCACTGAGCCAAACCAGCCAGGGCGGAAATCAGTATATTTTTTTAAATGCAGAGTCCTGAGCTCTACCCCCTGTTCTCAAAGTGATTGATGGAAAAAGGTTTGGGGAGCTGATTCTTTTTGTTGTTATTTTAATCCTCACCGGAGGATATTTTTTCATTGATTTTTAGAGAGACTGGAAGGGAGGGTGGGAAGGTCAGGGAAAGGGAGAGAGATCCTCCGGCCAGGGCTGGGGAACCACTTCTTAATTGAAAGTGATAGGGATAACAAGCACTTACAAGTGCCAGTCCCGAGCTGATGCTTTATGTAATTTTCATTTAATTTTTATGAAGTCAGTTCTCTGTGTCCCCTTTTCAGAGAAGGAACCTGGATCTCCAATAGTTTGACTTCTCCAGGATCACTCATCCCACAAGTGTCAGAGACACCTTGAGCCTAGCTCCTTTTGTGTCCTGAGACTCACATTGTTCTTGCCTTATAATAGTCATTGCCATTTGTTGAGGTCTCCTGATGAACCCTTGCTGAACTAGGTCCTTCACACCCACTCCCACATGTAACTCTGAGCCACCCGTGGGGCTGAGTAAAATATGGCTCTGGAGGAGTTTGTATCCTGTAGGAGAAGGTAGACCAGTCCATAAATAAAGACAATATAATATATGTATGCCCTGGCCAGTTTGGCTCAGCGGTTAGAGCGTCGGCCTGCGGTCCGGAGAGACCCGGGTTCGGTTCCCGCTAAGGGCACGTACTTCGGTTGCAGTTTGTCCCCGGCCCTGGTTGGTCGTGCGGGTGGCAGCCACTCGATGTGTCCCTTCACGTCGATGTTTCTCTCTCTCTCTCCCTTCCTCTCTCTCCCTCCCACTCTATCTGTACAAAAAATGGAAAAATATCCTCGGGTGAGGATAAAAAAAAAAAAAATTAAAAAAAAAAAATATATATATGTATAGGAGAAGAATGAGTGCTGTGGGGAGGTAGAAATGGGAGGAGTCTGGGAAGGTTTCACTTGGGTAAGGGGGGTGACATGACTAAGTCTTGAAGGATATTGGATTTTAACCGTATTGGAGTAGAAGGGAGGATATTCAAGGTTAATGGGTATGGATTTTTTTGAGGGGGTGTGATGAAAATGTTCTGGAACTAGTGATGGTGGTCACACAGCTTTGTTAATACGCTAGAAAGTACTGAATTACGCACTTTAGAAGAGTGACTTGTATAATATGTGAATTCAGAGCTGCAAGATTTCGGTAAAGAAGTAGAGGAGCTGATCTAGGAGTGGGTGGTGGAGAGGTGAGGGGAGAAGAAACCAGAGGTCATTTGTAGCTGGGCAGAGCTGGGGAGTGGGCTGAATTTGCAGACAGTGTTGGTGGAGAATTGTGTGTATTGTGGGCCCTCGTTCAGCAGAGGATGTGGGAGACATTTGGAAATTCTGTCTGGGGGCTTAGAGATTACGAGACTTGAGTTTGGCCACAGCGTAACTGATGGCAACTTGGTTAAGTGCCACATTCATTCAAATACATATCAGGCACCTGCTGTGCCAGTCATAGGCGGGGCCTGCACATACCGTGGCAAATGTGACATTTGTGGTCCTGACCTCCCTCCTGCCTAGTTGTGATACTAACAGCTGTTTGCAGGGGCCCTGTGTGAACAGAGCCCCCTTCTTATCTCTGTGTCATTGAGAGAAAGGGGTGAATTTCAGTGGCTGTCTCTGCCTAACAGCCTGAGGGCCTACAGCCATTCCTTAAAGGCGTTGAACATCGGTCTGTCTGAAAGCCAGGCTCCCTTCTTGATGCACTTGATGTGGATAAACCACAATCCTGAGTGCTACCTGACCCCCACACTACTGTCCTCCTTTGCCCCAGCTTTGGGACTTCATTAGGCCACCATGCTTTCCGAATGAGAAAGCATGTGTGCTGTCCACAGTGGGTCCCAGGCTCAGAATCCTGTGGCTCTAACCTCTGCTCCTTGACAGCTTTGCTTGAAGTTGGATGCTGTGTCAGCCAGTTGTTCTGGCCTAGGATCTTCAGGCCCAGGTGTCCGTGGATTATGGGCTTTCTGGGAGAGGCCTCAGCCAGTGGTTATCTTCACCTGTGGTAGCAATAGCTGGCAGAACTCTGTTCCCCATCAATCCTCAGTTCTGAGCATAGTTGACCCACAGCTGTTGCTCAGCAGGTGTCTGGGCATTGAATAGGTAGATGAGAGGCTTGGCTACACACCTGATCTCTAGACCATTCAACACCAAGTAGGATCTAGTCCAGAAGCAAAGGAAACTGTTGGGTTGCTCTGGATATGCCTCTGTCTGTCTGTCCTCTTAGTCTTATGTACATTGCCTCCTGAGAGTCTTACAGGTCTCTTGTGAGGAAGGTATTATTCTCCCCATTTTGTAGATAAGAAAACTGAAATTCAGAGAGGTTGAGTAATTTGCCCAGGGCCACACAGCTAACAAGTAAAGCTGGGATTCCAGGTTATGTCTGCCCAGTTCTAAAGCAGCATTCTCACTCTTCTTTCACAATGCTTCTGAGGTCCCTGGGAATGTGGCCTGGCTTTTTGCAGTAATTAGAGAACCTATCAAATGAGGTGCTTTATTGGGAGAAGCATTGTTATTCCATAGTTACTAGCCATTGTCAAATTTTGGGAAACAGAGAATTAAATGAAAACCAACATTTATTGAGCAACTACTATGTCATCAGGCTCTATGCCAGGCATTTTATGAACATTACCTCATTTAATCCCTATGGCAGCCCCATTGTTGGTGAGGAACTTGAGGCTCAGGGAGGTCAAGAACTTGTCCAGGGCATTCAGCTAGAATTTGCACACAGGTGATCCCAAAGCTTGCTTGTGTAACCACAATACCACACTGCCTTCCCTGGGAGATGACTCTCGCAGGAACCTTGGTAGCCTCAATAAGCCAACCAGGCAGCTCCCTTGGCCACTGGGGTGACCTCTGAAACTTTGCAGACCAACGCAGCCTTTCCTGCAGCCATGGAGCTCTGGCAACTGGAACCATGGGGACACCATGCCACTTTGGTTTGAAGCCTGCAGGGGATGGTTGGGACAGTTGCCCAGTTGCAGCCTTGTTCTTAACATTCATTGTTTAGCAACAGTTACTGCCTTGAGCAGAGAAGTAAACCAGTTAGTACACGGTGGAACAGTGGGGTTGCATTTGGGTATGTGGCAGTAGAGGAAGATGTATTCTGAGTGTTGAGGGTGTACCAGGCTGAGGGAGCCCTCTGGAGTCACCTAGTGGCCTATCAGTCAGTCTCTCTGTCACTCAGACCAGCAGTTCATCTCAGAGCCTTCTGTCCCACTTGAGAGTGGCTTTAGGTGGGGTTGGGGGTTCAGGTGAGGCTTCCCAATCAGCAGTATGTCCATTGTTTGTCTTTATACCAGCAGGCAGCTGGCTGCAACCCTGCCCCTTCCTTTGATCACAGGAGTCTTCACTGAACTTTGGTTTCTGGTGTGAAATATGGGGCTTATAAAATTTCCATGTACTTGTGAAATCCAAACCTCCATTTATTCATGCCTGACAATGGCCCAAAATCATGCCCTGCCCCATCCATTAGGGAAAGGCAGGTTTGATGAAGGCCAAACAAAGCCAGTTCTGGAGCCCAGATTCCATTGAAATCTGACAAGACCCTCTGGCCTCTGGATTGGGTCTTTGCTCCTTGTCAGATTGCTTTGTTGCCCTGCCTGCAGACTCTAAGACCCTGTGTGAGGTGGGCAGCCTAGGGATGCCATGGCTGATAGCACTGGCTTTGGGATCCCTGCCCACCTTCCCCTGAGTACTAACTAGCTGTGTGTCCTAAATACTTCTGTGCCTGTGTCTTTTTTTTTTCTTTTGATTTTGTTGTTTTTTTGTGCCTGTGTCTTGAGTTGTTGGGATTAAATGGCTTAGTCAGTACTTGTTGATAGGAAATCCAATGACAGAAAAGTACAAAGAACAAGGGAAACCACTTGGATGTACCCCATGAACAGTGTTGACTTGTAGTGAGCATTATCCCAGGCGTCCTCTATGTATCCATGTTTGTACCATCACACATGGTCATTTTCACATATGCTGGTTATACTTAATCTCTGTTCACAGTAAGATGCCCATCTCAGCCATCTTCCTAGCTGACTGCTACCTGGACATTTCTTATGCTTTCTCCCAGTTTTGGTTCTCCCGTCCCTCTGCCTAAGTAACCCCAGTATTCCTGTCATAATTCTACCTGCCCTTCAAAACCCATCCCAGTAGAAATTCCATTGTCTTCCATCTATCTATCTCTATCGCATTCCTGTGTATTAGTCCATCACCTCTCCATGCCTCTGGTCACATGCTTAATGAGGCTCCCTGCTTGCCTCTGTGGCATATGGAACCACATGATCTTAGGGTAGAACACTGCCATGTGGCACTGCCGTGGAAGATTTCCCTGCAAGGCCAAGTGGGTGTGGGAGCTCCAAGAGTACCAAGGGTGGCCTGTGTATCTTTGTTGTCTGAATGTTGCCTCTCAGTGAGTGAGTGAATGAATGAGTTGAACCAGTGGAGAAACAGGTGACATCCCTGCTCTCCCTCATTACTTGGTCCTTGATGTGTTTGTTTAAATGCCCGCCTCTGGGCCTTTCGTTCCTGGCAGGTATAAAGTTTTTGCTCTGTTGTTGTGTTGAAAAGAATACCCTTGAATAGTGTTGGGAGAATTAGAATAGCTCTGAATTTCCCCCACAGTAGAATGAAGGTTGGACCAGCTAGTACCAGAAGCACAGAAAGTGCCCTTGTTGGCCTGGATGGCAAAGTGAGTTAGTGGTGAGTCTGGGACCCACCCCCATTTCTGGCTCAGGCCACAGTATTATTCCTGAAGCCAGTGGCTTCTGTGCCCTGCAGCCAGTTTGCCTTGGTTCCTGTCTGCCTCTTCCAGAGGCCAAAGGAGAGCCCCATCTGCCTCTGGGGACTCAGTCAGGTTTACTCCCTTGCCTGCTATCTCATGAATACCTGAAGCCACCCAAAGCAGCTTTACATGAGAAAACAAAGCCTGTGGCTGCTGTTATGTGCTTTATTACCTCAACTCTCTGGAGCCCTTACCACTCAGCAGCCATTTCCAGGGTACTACTATCTCTGGCCTGCTAACCAGATGCCTGCTTTGCCCACAGGCCAAGTACCTGGCCCAGATCATTGTGATGGGGGCACAGGTGGTGGGCAGGGCCTTTGCCCGGGCCCTGCGGCAGGAATTTGCAGGTAAGCTTGACCACTCTCTCCCCCTGGGGTGGGAGCTCCTGTCCAAGTCAGATTTCCCCATAGCAGTGGGACTCTAATGCTGGGCCAGTTGTGAATGCAGGAACTCTCTGTGGGCAGGAGTCTGGCAGGTTGGGTGGCCTGGAGCACTTCCCATGGTGGGGGGCAGTGCTGGACTTTGGGGCATTCTCATAAAAGAGAGACCTGGTTGACATGAGCATCCAGGCAGGAGTTGGCAAACCGGCTTACCTGGCCATCTGTTTTTATAAAGTTTTATTGGAACACAGCCACACCCTCTGGCTGCTTTTAAGGCAGAGTCCAACATGGACTAATTGGCCTGCAAAGCCTAAAATACTTTTTGATCCCCTAAGAAAAATTATACAGGCTTCTGAATCTAGGGTCATTGAAAAGGAAGTAGTCAGTCACCTGAGCAGCCTGCTTTGGTGGCCTAGGTAACCAATGGGCAGCTAATCTTGACAGAGCTATTGCTGCCTCCTCCTGCCTACAACTTCACTTTGCTCCCCTTAGTGGCCTGAAGATCCCAAACTTTCTATGTGACTGGATAAGGGAGTAGTGAAGAGGGACAGGGTAGTCTTGTGGTCTAGGCTTGCTACTAGGCTTGGTGACCAGACCCTGCCCCTAGTGGAGCAAATCTGACCTTACTTCACTATTCCTCCATTCCCCCCCCCCACCCCAAAACACTCCCAGAGACGTGCCCTCTGACTGCTTCTGCCCCTGTGTATCACTATATCTCCTCCCATGCCACTTGGCAGGGATGAGTCACCCAGATGGAAGGCAGGGGGAGCTCTGGGCTGCTGAGGGCCGAGCACTAACCTGCATGTTCATACAGCCAGCAGGGCAGCAGCTGATGCCCGGGGACGTGCCGGACATCAGTCTGCAGCTGCCTCTAACCTGTCTGGCCTCAGCCTTCAGGAGGCACAACAGATTCTCAATGTCTCCAAGTTGAACCCTGAGGAGATCCAGAAGGTGAGGCCACTGGGCTGGCTCAAGTAGCGGGGCGGGCCAGCATTGTGGGGCAGAGTAAGGGAGGCCTGGCGGAAAGGGGTGGGTGGGGACTTTGGCTGCAGCCAGCTGGGTCTCCGACTTGTGGGAGTCAATGTCCCTTGTTAGTTTTTAGGCCCAAGGTAGGCAGTAGCAGAGGCATAGAGCAGTTGGTGGTAGTAGCTGAATCCTTCCCTCCGTGGGTACCTGTCCTCCTTTCTGCCCCTTAGTGGTTGCTGCGGCTTATATGGAGTTTCAGGCACACAGGGTGGAGGGGTCGAGCCCTTTTGCTTTCCTTCTTTGTCATCTAGCTTCCCCCGCCTCTGTAATCCAGAGACTGCACACCTCTCACCGTCTCCCCTCCTCTGCAGAACTACGAACACCTATTCAAAGTGAACGATAAATCTGTGGGCGGCTCCTTCTACCTGCAGTCAAAGGTGAGTGGTCTTTGCTGCTGGGAGGAGGGCAAGGCATGTTCCAGACATTTCAGAGCTTGGCAGGTAGAAAGGTGTGCAGACCTTTCCCTGGTGTCACTCCTGGCTGCCTCAGCTGTTGGGCTCTGTCAGCCTGAGTCCTGTGTCAGCCTGGACAGTGGCCCTCCCAACAGCGATGGCTTTGAGGGAAGAGGACCATTAGCTGGTGGATTGCTAGAAGCAGCTCTCAGGTCCCACGTGACAGTCCATATGTGCCCTGGGCTCTGTCTCCTTTTGAGGGGAAGCTCCCGGGCCACCCTTCCCACCCTGGTCACTTTACCTGCCCACTGCTGTCCAGGACTTACAACTGGGACTGGACCATCTTGTGCAGGCCACCCTATCTAGCTGTTTGTAACGCCTTCTCCAGGTGGTCCGAGCCAAGGAGCGCCTGGAGGAGGAGCTCCGAATCCAGGCCCAGGAGGACAGAGACAAAGAGCAGAGGCCCCAAACGTGACCACTTGGCTCTTCCCACCCACCCCACCCTCTACCTCTAATTTATAGCTCGGTAATAAATGTCTTTTCTGCATTTCTCAAGTGCTCACATTCAAATTCCAGGAGGCAGACTATTCTTCCTGCCAGTCATGGGTGGGGGAGGGAGGGAGGGAACAAGGGGCTGGGGTGGGTAAGTTTCACAAGAAGCCAGCCAGCCTGTCTGCCTGTGGAGAGCCAGCTGAGTTCTGTCAAGTACTGGACACAGCCACTCCTGCTATTACAGTGCTAGCACTAGGTCCCTCCTATAGTATCATTATTTTGGGGTCTGCTCCTGCTCTCCCCACTGGGGGACGGAGCCCTGGACACCCAAACTTCATCATAGGTTGCCTCTCCACATCTGGGTTTGACTCTAGCATCTCAGTAATTTGGGCAGAACACTCCATGAAGCCTCTCATTGCACTGAGGTTCAGGAGCTGGGTCTTCCCAAGAGCTAAGCCACTCACCAAAGCCACAGGAAAAGGCCCTGAGCCTGTTTGGCTTTGTCTAGAATCCTGCATTTCAGCTCCTAGTACTCCTGCTCCCTCAGCACCTGCCCCCTCCCACCCTTCCCTTCCAGCAGCAGATTGAGAGGTGATGGTCTCAGAACAGGGCCTCTGGGTGCTGCAGTCTGGGGAAGTTGGAAGCCCCAGAGCCAGACACAGGGCAGTTAGAAGTGGTTTCTTGTTGGGGAGCCCAGCTTCTGGCACATCTGAGACAGAAACCATCTTTGCAACTCACTTTTATTGTTTCTTTATAAACTTCCTCTCACATGGAGAAATATATTGTTATAGTCATTAGCTTATCTTTTTTTTTTTTTTTTTTTACTCTATGCTAACAGCAGTGGAGCCAAGAGGAGGAAAAACATAAGCTACGATAGAAAGGCACTTAGAACCTGTTAAAATACTGATATCCTGGAATGTGCAACAACAAACCAACAACAACACGTACACCAGCCCTCTTGAGCCTGGTCTATCACTGAGTCACATGCTGAGCTAATGTCACCTTCCAGTGCCCTGTTCCTCTGCTCCCTGGGTTTGAATCTCAAACCCTTCATCCCTCAACTGGGGACTTAAAGGCCTGGGTCCTAGATAGGGCCCGAAGAAAGGAGACCAGCTCCTTCTTGTTTTGCTCACAGCCCCTTCGAGAGGCAGAGCCAGCACTGCCAGGCCCTGTAAGGGTGGGCTGGGTCAGGGTGACCCCTCTGGGACAGAAGGGCAGTCCAGAAAAGGGTAGGGGTCAGCAGAGCTGCTGAGGAACAGCAGGGTACTGTGGAGCCACAGGGCTACTAAGGACCCCACTGCTGTCCTGCAGCTCCCTTGTTCTACCGCTAGGGGAAGGGAAGGATTGCTCACTGAAGCCAAGGGCAGGGCAGGCCTAGGAGCCAAAGCTCCTGCCAGTTAGACCAGTGCCTCCTCGGGGCACATGAAGGGCTCAGGGTGGGGGAAGCACATGCTGCATTTTCAGGGCCTGGTGGGAGAGCCCACTCCACAGGGTTGGGCAGTGGGCACCTGGAACACCAGAATCCTTGGCTTAGTCTGGCCCCGGGATTAAAAAGAACCTCTAGGATTGGGGAACAGCATGTTGCAAATCCAGGCTCCTTTTACCAACTTCCCCTTCCCAGGTGGAGGGGCTGGGCCTCCTATGGCCATTCTTGACTACTTCACCATTTCCCCAGCCCAGGGCCTCAGTCCATGGCCTCTGGAAAGCTCCCATGCCCAGTACTGGCCTGTAGCCCTCCCTCACCTGTGTGCTGGCTGTAACTTTGTACCCCCAGAATGAGAGCTGTGTCCCAACCTGGGGTCACCCCCAGCCAGCTTCTTGCCTCCTACCAGACTGCAGGCTTCTACAGCCCCTAATGCAAGAGGGACATTATCCTTGGCCAGGCCCAACCAGTTCCCTGAACCAGGCAGTCCCGAGGGCCCAGCACCTCCCTTCCCCACACTCCAGGGCTCCCTAAAAGGTAGAGGAAAGAGGCCAGTGGTAAAGGGGCAGCTGAGTGGTCAGCTGTCCCCTCACTTTGGAGAGCATCATTCAGCCCAGAGAGGGGTTCATCCTTGGGCAGAGCTGGCTTCTTCAGACAGGTAGGTGGTGAAGGGCAGTGGGCAGAGCAGGCCTCCCTCTCTAAGCAGGAGGCACCTTGTCATAAGGATAAGGTGGCTCTTCCTGTGGCTTTGCAGGGGCCTGCGTCTGTCTTGCTCTCCCTCTGGAGGGTGGGCCAGAGGGAAAGGGGTCTAAGGAGCCCCTAGAGCAGGGCCTGGTAAAGCTAGGCAAGAGGGGAGGGGGCCTCAATCCTGGGGCTCCTTGTCACAGTTCACCACATGAAGGGGTACAGAAGGAGCCCTGGACCAGCAGATACCCCCACCTGCTCCCACTGTTGGGACGTGGCTGACAAGTGGACAAGGCAGGGAGGGAGGGTGACCTGCCCAGGTTGGCCACTGGGTGAAGGGAGGTACCAGGGTAGAGGACAGGGCAGGGAGACTGAGGGCCAGAGGTGAGCAAGGCCTCAGCACTCAGGAGCTCAGGTCTCTGGCCACCAGGCAGTTCCTCCCTTGGGATCCTGAGACACCAGCAATGACCTAGCACCATCCTTACCACCCAGCTTATCTGGGGCTGCCGGGGGACACAGCCCTGGGGGCAGGAGGACATTATTGCTATTTCGCAGAAGAGTTTCCGTTCGTCGGGGCAGGGCCTGGAGCTTCGGGGTGGCTGTCCCTGGGGCGAGTTCAGTTCACCACAGCTGGTTTGAGCAGCACAGAACCCGGCGGGATGACCACCCAGCCAGGGGCCAGGGCCTCTGGGCTGCTGGCTGCCGAACTGACACCTGTGGACAGGTCCAGCACCGTGCCCGGCAGCATGGGGAGTCCTTCAGGGCTGGGCCGGGAACGGCTACTCTCAGTCCTCTCCAGGGGGGTCTTTCGGCCCTCCAGGCCCAGGGCCCTGGCTGGCACTGCCCCACGCCCCTTCTCCCCCTCAGCCTTGCCACCTGTGGAGCCAGCCAGGAGAGAGACCACAGGCAGGCCCAGTCCACCAGCCCCGAAGGGTGAGGGCAGTAGTGGGTTCTTAGCTAGATTGAGGGGTAGGACAGGGCCTGGCAGTCCATGGCCCATGCCTGCTCCACTCCCACCACCCCCACCATTGCCACAGGCCAGGGCACTGAGGTCAAGAGGGCTGGGGGCCAGGGGCAGGGGCAGGCCAGGCAGGCCAGGGCCTCCAAAGAGGGCAGCTGGATTGGGGATGATGATCTGGGCCCCACTGACATAGGGGCTGCCGTCAGGGGCAGGCAGTGGTGGTTTAGGGGGTGGGCGCAGTTGTAGGAGCTCCTGCTGCTCGTGGGATACAAAATGGCCGTGGGCCTTGATGTGTTTGCGCAGTGAGCTAGGGTCTGTATAGCGTTTGTGGCAGCCGGGCATCTTGCAGTAGTAGGGCTTGTCCACGTAGTGGGTTCGAGTGTGCTTGAATCGGTCACTTGAGTTGGAGTAACGCTTGTTGCAGCCCTCATATGGACAGACGTAGGGCTTCTCACCTGTGGGCAAGGCTGGTGTGAGGGGTCTCCCAGCCCAGTGTCCTCCCCCCACCTACTTCCTACTTGGCAGCCCCCAGACCCCTCACCCCAGACCAAGATCTCCTTGAAAATATAGACTGTCCCATTTGAGGGGTGGTGTCCTTAGCACCTGGCAGCAGAGCACAGCCCCTGAGAAGCCAGCCTGGTTACCCCCAGAACCCCTGTGCCCTGACTGTATGCCCTTGGCCTTAGTGCTATGCTTCAAATTGCAGATGACAGCAGCCGCTTAACAGGTGAACTGATGAACCTGATTATAGACTTCCATAAAGCACCTACTAGGGACAAGCTGAGCACTGCCCTTTATGCAGCCCTTACTTGGCAAAATGGCTCCTGATTTACTAAACGTCTGCTCCTTCGCTGACCAGGATGGGGCTTTGAAGTGTGGCCACTCCAAATTGAGATGTGCTGAGTGTAAAATACATACCAGATTCTGCAGACTTTATACGAAATGAAGATTCTCAGTGTCTCATTGATATCTTTTTAACTTTTTTAAAAAAATTCCTCACCCAAGGATAATTTTCTATTTATCATCAGATAGAGTGGGAGGGAGGGAGACAGAGACAGAGAGATACATCCATGTGATAGAGCGACATCAACTGGTTGCCTCCCACACGACCCGACCAGGGCTGGGGACTTACCACAACCAAGGTATGTGCCCTTGACCAGAATTGAACCCATGACTTATTGGTCCATGGGCTGACTCTCTAACCACTCAGCAAAACCGGCCAGGGCAGTATCTTTTTAATTTTGAAATGATAACATTTTGGACATATTGGGTTCAATATATGATTATAGTTCATTTCACCTATTTTTTTTATCCTCATCGAGGACATTTTTCCATTTTTTATTCAGACAGAGTGAGAGGGAGAGAGAGAAACATCGATGTGAAAGGGACACATCGACTGGCTGCCACCCACACAACCCAACCAGGGCCGGGGACAAACTGCAACCAAAGTACATGCCCTTAGCGGGAACCGAACCCGGGTCTCTCTGGATCACAGGCCGACGCTCTAACAGCTGAGCAAAACTGGCCAGGGCATCACCTATTTCTTTTTTAATGTGGCAGTTAGGGAATTTAAAATCAGGTGTGCGGCTCTTTTGGCTAATGCTGGCCCTACTGTATGCTGGGGGTATGGTGAGGAGCAAAGCAGACACACTGGCTGCAGTCACAGGTGGCATGAATCAGAATCTTACAAACATGACAATGCTGAGTGTGGCAGGAAGACCTATCTGAGCTCCCATTTACTGAGTGACCCACAGGAGAGGTTTCCCCCAGCAAGTGGCACTCGAAAAGGGACCAGTCAACAAGGGGATGCATCCTTCATCTCTTGGATGCTCAGGGATGGCTGGGCACTCCACCATGGCCAACCTGTTCAGCTGCTGCCCTCCAGCCCCACCTCTCACCTGTGTGTGACCGGTTGTGGATCTTCAGGTTCTCCAGGCGGGAGAAGCTCTTGCTACAGGTGGGACAGCGGTGTGGCTTCTCATTGGTGTGTGTGCGGATGTGGATGAGCATCTTGTACCTGCTCCAGGGAGGGCATGGAGCACGGCTCAGCTCGCTGGACACCTGAGCCTCTATGCCCCCTCCCTCCTGCCAGCTCTCGCCCTCCCTCACCTGGCATTGAAACCTCGACCGTGACGGGCGCAGCCTTCCCAGTGGCAGCAATACCCCGCATCCTTCTCTGGCTTGACATGGTAGTCGTTGACGTGATCCACCAAATCTTGCAGGAGCTCGAAGAGCTGGTTACACTGTGGGGCAGGGGAGGGTTCTGAACCTATGTGGGGCCACCCACCCTGGGCCCTGCCCCACTCTCCCTGACCCCCACTCACCTTGGCCCAGCGACAAACCAGTTGTTTGGGCAGGGGTAGCTCTGGCGAGAGGCACTTGTCCTTGGGGGGGGTGAGGAAGGAAGAAGCAGGCAGATGCAGGGCTCCCCCAGAGCCCAGAGGCAAGAAGAACTGGAAGGAGCTGGGGACACTGTCCAGATAGCGCAGCGGCTGAAAATCCTGGCAGGAGAGGGTGAGGGGCAGGGCTGTCAGTGCTCCTGGGGCCAGCAGGCCCAGACCCCTCTGTTTCCCTCTGTAGCAAGTTTAGTTGTCCCCACAATGACATGTCCTAGTCCTAACCCCCAGTATCTGTTCTTGTGACCTCATAAGAAAATAAGGCCTTTGAAAAAAAAAAAGAAAATAAGGCCTTTGTAGATGTGATCAAGTTAGGAGGGTGGCTCTAAATCCAGTGACCAGTCTTCATAAGAGAAAGGAGGAATGGACACAGAGACACACACAGAGGGAAGGAGGCCATGTGACAAGTAGAGGTTGGAGTGACGCAGTTACAAGGTAAGGACTGCCTGGAGCCATCAGAAGCTGTTAAGAGGCAAGGAAGCCTTCATCTCTAGAGCCTTCAGAAGGAACCAACCCTGCTGACACCTTGATTTTGGATTTCAGCTTCCAGAACAGTGAGAGAATACGTTTCTACTGTTTTAAGCCACCCAATTGTGGTCCTTTGTTACAGAAGCCCCAGGAAACTAATAAACCATCTCTCTCCAGAACCTACACCCCTTCCTTACCGGGGCGGTGGGGACTGTGGACAGGTCACCGTTGCCCTGGCGCTCAGGGGACAGCGAACTGCTGCCATTGGGGGAGTCCAGTCCTGATGACGGCGACAAGCTGAGGTCTACCAGGGGGGCTGCTGAAAAGCGTCCCTCCACCTTCTCAGGGAACTTGGGGTTTAGTAGGAAGCCTAAAAGAGAGGCACAATTCAGGGGTGCTGGAGCCAGGAGTCCTGGTGGGCCAGGCCCTCCCACCTCTGAATCCTAAGCCATGACCCTGGAAGCAGACCCCAGCCATGCCACACCCCTTGACCATCCTGAGACCCCAGGTATCTGAGCAACAGCTTGTACAAATGACAAATGTGACCTCTGCCATCATGAGAGCTCAGCCATCAGTTGACACGAAAAGTGAGAAGTCCCCTTTGACAGACAGAATGACCTGGTACATAGGGTGAACAACTGAGTAGGAACTTGAAGCCAGGGCCCCTACTTCCCATCACATTGGTGACCTTTTTTAACTTTCCTCAGGCCTCTCTGCCTCAGTGCTACCTTCTGTAAAATGAGAAGTTTGGGCTGGGCTACTTCTAAAGCCTTCGAGCTCAGAAATGTTAGATGTGATTTTCAGGTGTACAGGAGGCAAAGCAGAGGGCCTAAGCCCTAACCATCCTAAGAAACACTTGCTGGGCTAAGTCCCCAATCTCTACTGACCCGGCCAGCTGCCCACTTTGCCTCAAAGCCCAAGAGTTGGGTCTCAAGGCCTGTTGTTACTATACAGAAACCCCGATGCCCCTTATTAGCCACTCCAGCTCCTCCCAGAGGCCTCAATTTGAATCCTAGCTCTGCTGTTCCTGGCTCCGCTTTATAAACTGGGCAGGTAATTTCCCTCCTCTTGGGGACAATGTAACCTCCAAAGATAAACTTCTGGGAGGATGAGTGGCCAGAGTGTGGGGAGTACTCTAAGCTGGAAGCCGCGAGGGTCTGTGGTCATTATATTCTGGTGGACACAACTCGGACGTTCTTTTCTTCGTTAATCCTCACCTAAGGATGTTTTTCCATTGATTTTTAGAAAGTGGAAGGAAGGGAGGGAAGGGGGAGGGAGAGGGAGAGGGAGAGAGACATTGATTGGTTGCCTACCACAAGACCCTGACCAGGGCTGGAGATTGAACCCACAACCCAGGTATGTGCTCTTGACCAGGAATCGAACGCTCGACCCTTTGACCTCTCGGTCTATGTGCAGACACTCTAACCACAGGGCCAAACTGGCCAAGGAAACCTTGTATATTCTGTCTATTGCCATGGCTCCATCAGGGCCCAGGGACTGTTGCCCTGCTCCAGTGCAGTACCTGAGGGTGGGGAGCCCGGGGAGCAAGGGGTGGGGCTATCATCCACCAGGCCAAGTTCCCTGTGCAGAGCTCGGTGACGGACCACACTCAGCGTCCTCTCCCGCTTTTCTCTCGCCGCCCGGAGCTTGGTGATGCTCAGCTTCAGGTCAAGCGGCTCGTCCAAGGAGTGCATAGTGATGGGGGGCTGGGGTTGGAGGTGGCAGCAGGCAGTGGGGAGCTCCCAAGCTGGTATTCAGGCAAGAACCTAGGGGAGGACAGGAGCTTGCTGTGTCACTGTGACCCCAAGCCCTCCTGGGGCTGCATTCGTTAAAGGGAGAGGGAGGCAGTGAGTGTACAGCAGCGTGAAGGCCGTCTCCCCAGGTAGGAAACCCTCGGAATGGCCTGGCCAGCAGCTGTCATGAAGAGAGGCAACCACCTACTCAGAGCTTCCATGTCTACTTCCTACACATCTTTTCTGGGAGGCGAAGCTCAAAGGGTCCATTTTGCCATAAAACTGAATTTTAGAGACCCTGCCTCAGGTCACAGACCTAGGAAGTGGTAGAGCTACCCGATTCAAGGCCAGATCTCCCTGGAAATAACCAGTCAAGTCCCAAAGGTTATTTCTGACTGAGTGGCAAGTCATGCCTAGAGCACACGCCTGGTTTGATCTGGAAGACCCAAAATCAGGCCAGAGGAGCAATAAGTGTTCTTCAAGGTGGCCACGAGATGTCCTCAGCTACTGACTGCTGAGCACTGGTTGTGCCGGGCCCCATAGGGATCTGTGGTCACCTCTGAGGGAACAAAGCTGAGAGGTTGATGGGAAAAGCTGAGCAAAACTTGGCCTTATGGGATGGGACTGCAGACAGGTGGCCTTGCCTCACAGATGAGGTCAGAAGAGGTGCTTAGAGAAACTGGGAGCCAGAAGGCTCTGGGCCACCACCAGGGGGCAGCTGGGGGCTGTAGCCCAGTCAGGCTAGCCAGGGGCAGGGTGGGAAGTGGACCAGCTCTGTCTGGTGGTTAGTAAAATATAAATATAAATATAAATATAAATATATATATATATATATTTATTTATTTTAAATCCTCACCCAAGGACATTTTTTCCATTTATCTTCAGATAGAGTGGGAGTGGGAGAGAGAGAGACGCATTGATTGGTTGCCTCCCACATGACCCTGACCCCAACCAGGGCCAGGGACCAAACTAAGTTCCCTTGACCTGAATCGAACCTGTGACTCTTTGGTCCGCGGGCCGACACTCTAACCACTGAGCCAAACCGGCCAGGGCTGCATATATCATTTTTTACTGGTGATGACATTCTTTTATTATGAGGTCTCATGCTGGAATTTTTACCATTTTCTTAAAATGTCTCAATGGTGTGATTTTCTTCACATAAAAATGACCCAAGAGCAAGGTCAGCTCTTCATTCCAAATTCAAACTTTTCTTATAGGGGCAATATTTTCATATGTGGGGAAACAGTTATGGTGTTTCCTTGCATTTGTTAACTGAGATCATTACACCCTGAAAATCTATTTGCTAAATAAGCCAAAACTGAGATACTCCCTGCCCTTCATTGAATCCAGGTTTTTACAATTTAACACAGAATATCCCCATAACCAACACATGGTATATTTCATTGGTGTGTCTCCTTGGGGGCCAGTGTTGCCCAGACTTGTACAGATCTGCATGAATCTTTCTCCATGGAATAGGACAGGGAATGACATCCCCCATATCCCCACTCATTTTCTCCAGGTCAAGCCCCTAAGCAACTTTAAAGTTTTCACCCACTTCCAAGTCCTGGCTCATCTGTCTCCCAGGACAAGCTCCACTTTTGCTAAGACTCTCCAATCACACAGGGTCCCCTCCCTCACTTAGGACCCTCAGCTTCTGGGGATATATCCCAAGACCCCACCAGCACATGGCTAATATGAGTCTATGAGCCTAGAGAGGGGAACTGCATTATCAGAGCACAGTTTGCTGCACTTGGCCATGGGACCCAGATCTGTGATTTGACCTGTCCCTGTTAAACTCCATCAGGTGAGAGCCAGCAGATCTATTTGGATTTGTCCCCCAGGCCATGCATGAGCCAGGAGCTCCCAGCAATGCAAGGGGGCTGGGACCAGACAGCCAGCCTGTCCTTCAGGAGCTCAGGATCCAGGCAGGCAGGTGAATGAATGACAATAATGGATAGACAATGGGCCCCTCCACTCTCCTTCTGACTAGGGGAGGAGCTGCCCTCTGCCTAACCCCCCCCCCCCCAGTCATGTCTGTCTGTCTATGTCTGCCTGTCCCTCCACCTGTTTATTTTTAGACACAGGCCCCTTCCAACCTCCCTGAAGCTCCTCTGTGCTAGGAGCCTGGAAGGAGAGGAAGGAAGTAAATATTTATGCTGATTAAGAATTCAGGAGCCAGGAAGGGCTGGTGGCCTGGTCCTTGGCTGGCCTAGGGCCGCTGGCCTCCCCACAGACTCCACCTCCCACCCCTAATCCCCAACCCAACCTTCCAGAGAAGGGGACCATGAGGGGAGAATAGTTTGAAACAGAATTCAAAGTGACACTGACTCTCATTGGTATCGTTGCCCAAGCAACATCCCTTGGCACCTGCCCCACTGCCCTCCCCCTAGACCTGAGGGGGACCAGAGAGGAGCCCTGAGCCCTGGGTCACCTTGTTCTGAAGACCCGAAGGAGATACATCCTCAATCCAGAACCAGGGAGTCCCAAGAAGAACCAGTCTCCCAGGTGGGGCCCAAGGTGGGAGGGAGCACTCCAGCACCCCACCTCCTAGAGACCCCTGCCCCCAACTCTTGCCCTTGGGTTCTGCCCAGGGGTCATTCTGATGGGAGCCAGAGCACAGCCTCCCCAGTCGTGGAAAAGGAGGAAGAAGCCATCCCCAAAGCTCCCAGCTCCCAGCACCTTCATCCCCAGGCTGGACTCACCCCGATTTCCCTCCCAATGGTGGCCCCACTCCAAGGGGAAAACTGTGACCGAACTCTTTGGCCAACCTCAGTGTCCTCTTTCACCCCAGCCAGGGGCCAGTTCTGGGCTTGAGCTCTGCTCTTTGTTCCTGGGCTGGGGGAAGAGGGGTGGGTGAGAGCCCGAGTTATGCTCTAGGGAGGCTGAGGGGACAACCAGGCTTGGAACCCTGGGACTAGTGCTGTGATAACCCGAAGAGGCCAGCCCACCATCACCAGATTTAACGCTTATGACAGCCAGGGAGGTGGGGAGGACAGAGACGCTAAGAAGGGTGACTGTCTTGCTCTGAGGGTACAGGCAATTTTCTTTAACCAGTAGCAGGCGTGCAACAGGCAGGGCCATGAGTCTCCTACACCCCAGTGCAGAAACTCAGCAGGCACCCCCAGGGTGCAGCATGGAGTCCTGTGTCCTTGACACCCCCCCAACCTGGCTGGGGAATCCCAGGCTCAGTTTCCCAGCTGGCTGGCTCTGAGATGATGCGACTCGGCCCTGCTGGTGTGGGCTGTAGGGCTCCATGTGGGCGGGATGCAGGGCAGGGAGGCAACCCTGAGGTGTTCATGCTGCTGGGTGCCCCACAGTGACTCCAGCAAAAGGAACTAATTAGAGTGGAGGGAGCTGAGGGAGCACAGGGCTATGCGAGACCACCAAGGTGGTGGGGGCGGGGCGGGGGTCATCCGGGGGTGGACCACGCTGGCCCTCAGGCCCGCGCCCCCACCCCAGCCCACTGCACCCTCCCTGCCGGCTGGGCCTAGACAATGGCTGCTATTGTGAGCTGCCTGAGACCCAGCAACCGGCCCCAGCTGCTGGGCCCACCAAGCCACCCCACCACCCCACCCCTGCCTGACCTACCTGGTCGGCCCCCCTAGGTCGCCATCCCCCCACCCCCACCCCGATGCTGCAGGCAGGTCAAGTACCACCAATACCCGGGGAAACTGAGACTCCAAGACTTGGGTGGATGTCACATAGAAAAGAGTCGGCATCCGTTAAACACCTACTGTTCATGCGCTATTTGTCCGTGAATTCTCTCCCTACTGTGAGCAGATGCAGTCATTTTCCCTGTCATACAGATGGGGAAACTGAGGCTTGAGGTCACTAGATGAATAAGAGCAGGCTGGAATCTGCTCTCTATAAAGCCCCTCCTTCCCTGCTTGGGAGAGGGCAGTGGGCTGGCCCTAAGCCTGGAGGAGTGCCTGTGTAAGTGGAGGGGGGCTCCCCACAGCCACCTTGAGAAGCACCCAGGATCTCCTTGGCAGAAGCAGAGAGGGAGGGGTCCTCTGTAAGATGGGGGTTTTCCCTGTCCACCCCACAGCAGCATAGAGCCAGCTGCCTGACCACCAGTGTACCAGTGTTGTCAAGGGCAACATGAGGGACACCCCTTATTCCCAGAGTAGCCCTGAAACTGCCCTTTGGTCAGCCATGGCTCATCTAGCTTAGGACTTAGGGACAAGGGCCCAAGATGCAACTCTCAAAAGTCCATGTGGCTTTCTTGATTATAGACTGGAAAGAGGAAGCAAGTCCCTGGCCTCCCCTGTGCCCCCGTGTGTGGTGACTAAGACCATCACTGTCAACACTCTGGTCTTACAAATAGGGAAACTGAGGCCTAGAGAGGGAGAGCACTGCTCCAGATTGACAGTGGATGGAAGCCATGGGTGAATGTTACAGGGCAACAGTACCAACGGCCAGCTGTTGATAGTTGGGGAAGGTGCTAGCACCTGTTAAGGCAGGTGCTCTTTCACCCCCATTTTACAGATGCAAAAACTGAAGCTCAGGCCCTGGCCGGTTTGGCTCAGCGGTTGGAGCATGGGCCTGCGGACTAGAGTCCCAGGTTGGGTTCCCACTAGGGGCATGTACAAAAAAACAAACTGAGGCTCAGGAAGATTAAATGACTTGTCCAGGGTCACACAGCTTATCTGTGGCAGATCTGGGTTTCAAGCCCAGGTGAGTCCAGAAGCTGTGTTCACCATTAGCCCCTCCTGTGCCAGTGGATGTAGGGAGGAGCAGGCAAAAGGGCTCCATCTTGTCACCCTCTCCCTGCCCAGAGGTTTGCTGGAGCTAGGTACAGAGCCTAGAAGAGGCAGCAGGCAGTGGGTGGGCGCTGGAGAGGCCAGCTGGGGGGTGGCCACAGGGAAGCTTGGAAAGCTGTAGGCAGATATGCTGCCAAAGCAAAGGGCCCACAGCCCTGCATTCCTGGGAACCACTGCGGCTCCACCCAGCTCTGGCTAAGAGCTCCACCCTCCATGGCAGCCAAGCAGCAGGGGCTAGGGGCAGGGGTAGGCCTCATCCTCT